TCTAAATTTGTGGTGGTAAGAACTCAAGAATCAACAGATAAATCAAAGGGTTGAATATGTTCTTGAATATATGAATGATGCTATGGAGAAGGCAAATTATGAATAACCACACAAAATTCGTAATATGACTTAGGTATATATATTTGAAGTCAATTAGGTAGTTTTTGCCCGTTAAAACTCTTTAAAAATGCAAAATAGGATTTTGTGTATAACACTATCGCTCAAGTGAGATCCCAATGACAAACAAAAATCTGTCGCTCGAGGGATAGCTCTGCAATAGATGGGTGATAGAGTTTCTATTTTGCCGCTTGAGCATGAGATGGGCTATAGGCTAAAAAAAATTCGATGGCTCTTTCCTCTTGTTCCAAACCCAAACCCTTGTTTATCTACTCCAATTATACAATATTTTCACCAACTCTTTATGTTTTATAACTCATTTATTTAAGTCCTTTTGCCTAAAGAATTACCAATTCATAAAATTCTAACACAAACCAAAGCAAATCCAATAGTTCAATATTAGTAAAGCTATATTGTAATAGAGAATCGCATGTTTTGTGTATTCAACTTTATAATTTTGTGTAGTTGAGAATTGAAAAGGAGTTGACAAAGTTAATATTTTGATTAAATTGATCATTCATCTTCTGTGGATGAGGGAAACTTTATCGATATAAGCAAATTCTTGTTTTTCTATATATTTTTTCTTACTAGATGCATTCATTTAATTGTTAATTAAGGCATTTTTTTTCTTCAACAAATGAAACATTGGAAAACAAGATACAATATTAGCCATTGTTTGGAAGGGTAAGTTAGGTCAACAACTAACTTTTTCGTGTAACTCACAATATATATATATATATATATATATATATATATATATATATATGCCACATAGCATCATATTATTGAACTATTTAAAAAAAAGTCAACTTTTTCATCCAACCATATCTTGCCAACACTTATTATATTAAAGTATATGTCAACATTTTTCCGTTAAAGTGGCTTTACCCTATAATTAATCTCAATAAGTTTGTTTTAAAGATGAGTTTTGCATTTATTCTGGTATCACTTATTATAATTACAATGAGTAAAACTCGCCTTTGAAACGACTTATAATTAGGGGGGAATATTGAAATGCTTTTAAGTATAGAAACAATTATCTGAACTATGTAACAACATAAACATTATCTGAACTATGTAACAACAAAAACATACCCCTCATTATTTGCGATCAATAAAACCTAATGTAGATAAGATTAACCACTTTTTAATTAATTACAAGCAACACATTAAGACAATGTTTTTGCTCTAAAAGATAGCATTATAGGATATATGGTTATGTCAATTGCAACAGAGTAGAAGTTGGAATTTGGTTTTAAATATAGAAAGTGACTTTTTGTCAACTTCTGTCAAATATTTGAACTTTATTCGATAGTCAAATTATAAATATAAATAGACTAACTTATTCTACTTGTCGAGTAAATCGTCATATTACATTTGAAATCTCAAAATCAATTCCGAATGAATGAGAAAATTGTGATCCAAAGTTGGAAAGAAAAGAGAAAAAATTGACAAGGAAAATTGCCTAACTTCATCGCTCGCCTAGCGTTCGAGTGATAAGATTGTTGCTCGAGTGATAGAGGAGCGACAGGTAGGCAAAAAGTTTTTGTCTAAAAAATGACACTACCTCTCGAGCAACAAGCCAGCAACAAACTAGCGACATTAAGGAATGCTTCCCGTCATAAGGTTACGAAGTTTACGAAGAATCACTTCACTCACAACCTCTCCTTTTCTATAAATAGGACCTTTGGACGTCCATTATTCACCTCATATCATTTTCATTGAGCATTATATCAAAACTCTTGCAAAACTTCTCCAAAAATCATTCCAAAAACTTTTTCTTGTAGAGAGAATAATCCGTTTGAGTTTGTTGTTGCCTTATAGTTTGAAATGCTTCTACTATAAGAAAGTAATTCACTATATTTTGGGAGACAATTGCCATTACTCTATTAGTACTGTTGTGGGGCAAATTTGTCATAAGGAAAGAATGTTTTCACTTACCTTTGATTATTTCATCACTTTCTTCTTCTTTCTTTTTGTTACTTTGTTTAACTTCGTTCCCGCATTATTAAATTAGCCTTTTGTTATGCACATTCAAAACAAACTTTACTATATATTTCCCAACAAATTTAAGATAAATTTTCTATGATTGTTTGTTGAGAAACAAACTATTTTCTTTATCTTTGGAATAAGCCTTTGTGTGCTATTCCTTTCTTTCATTTTGTGCGCTGAACTTCTATTTGTATAATTTATATGAATATCGTTGAGACTAATTCAAGTCAAACAACAAATGGAACAAACAATGTGGTTCTACATTTGGCTATACCACTTCGAAATACTCCAATCCCACATAGGGAAAAATGAAAAAAAAATTGGAGGAGTGGACTTCAAAAGATGGTAACAAAAGAAGTCCTATATTACTACTTTAAATTTGGCAAAGTTCTTAAAAGAGACACCTCTCACTGTACAAGAAGGAGAAAATAATCATTAGTCAATTATTTTATTGGATGCATGGAAGCACTCAGATTTTCTGTTCAAAAATTACATCCAATATTGATTGGACAATAAACATTATAGTGTGTATATTTTGACGGACTCAGCCAAGGATTCATGGGATTTATTGGAGAAGAAGTACACAATCTAGGATGTCGGGAAAAAAAGTTTACTATCGGCAAGTTTTTGGGCGATAAAATGTTAGACTCCAAGATTGTGATAAGTCAAGTACAAGAACTTTAAGTTTTACTTCATTACAGATGTGTAGAAAAGATGGAATTGAGTGAATCTTTTCAAGTTGCAGCCATCATTGAGAAACTATCTCCTATGTAGAGAGATTTCAACAACTGTCTCAAGCACAAATGCAAGGAGATGAACTTGGAGGAATCAATAGTCCGTTTGATGATTGAAGAAGATAATAGAAAAATCGAAAGAAAGTCTATTATTCTACTTTTGAGTAAATTTTGTTGAAGTTGGTTTGATGGTTGAAAAAAATGAGTGTAAGATCTTCGATGATGCAACAAGAAGAAACAACTCCAAGAATGTCAAGAATTTTAAAGGCAACTATTACAATTATTGAAAAGTCGGACATCATTCAGCTGAATGTCGAAAGCCCAAGAAGAAAATACTCTTTTTGAAGGGATAGAAGATATGAATCTTTCTGCGGTTGTTTCTAAATGTAACAACATTGAAAATTCGAGGAAATGGTGAGTTGATACTAGTGCTACCCATTACATTTGTGCAGACAAGATAGTGTTCTTAAACTACAATTAAACAGAGAACAACTCTTTATAGAAAATTCAGCAAGTTCTAAAGTTCAAGGATAAGGGAAAGTTACTTTGAAGATGACTCGGTAAAAAGTTCGTCCTCAACAATATCTTACATACCAGACATTCACAAGAATCTTGTATTCGAGTCCCTATTTAAACAAAAATGGCTTTAAACATGTATTTGTATCCGATAAATTTGTACTCACTAAGAATGTGTATATGTTGGTAAAGGATACCTATATGATGGAATGTTCAAAATAAACATTCTTACAATTGTACCGAAACAAAGCATTATGAATAAAATTTCGAATTCTACTTATATGTTTGAGTTGTCTTGTTAATGTCATAGTTGATTAGGACACATGAATTTTAAATCTATGTAAAAACTTATGAATTAAAGTTTAATTCCAATTTTTAAAACTGGTCTTAATCATAAGTATGAAGTAAATGTTGAAGCAAAGTTGGCCAAAACACATTTTCACTCAATTCAAAGGAGCACGACTTTTTAGAATTAATATATAGCGATATTTTTGACTTAGAATTTGTTCAAACTAAAGGTGTTAAGAAATAATTCGCTATTTTCATTTTTGACTGTACAAAGTATTGTTATGTCTTTCTACTAAATTGTAAAGAGGAAGTTTTAGACGACTTACATTATAAGATGAAAATTGAGAATCAACTTGGTAAATGAATAAAGAATATTCGTAGTGATAGAGGAGGTGAATACTGGCACCATTTGAAGAATATTGTTCAGAACATGGAATTATATGTCATAGACACAATACCCCTAAGCAACTTATCTCTAATGGTATCATCTCCATAGAAATGTGTAAGTCAAAGGAGAACATTGCAAATCTACTTATAGAAGGTTTACCTGGAGTACGTTGTGTTTTGCTAAATTTGGTCTAAGGATATATAATTTATTATGGTTTAGGTAAAGAATCTATATCCAACTAGATCAACCTATCAAAAGTAAGAAACAACTCATTTAATCACAATGTCAAACTCAATTCTAGTACGCTTGTAATATCAAATTTTGTAAGGTTGAGTTTCAATTAGTCTAGCATGCATCTTATCCACAATTCATAAATCAACACCAAATCTCAAATTAAATTATCATTGTCTGACAGACTGTCTAACCCACACAAGCACATAACTAAACAAAAAAGATTTTTTGCCCCCAAACTTAAAATTGACATTGTTCTCAATGTCATAAGCATAAATAAGCACATAAAGGGGGTAGGAAAGAAAAGGAGAAAGGCACTCCCCAAATTTTTGTGTTGAATGTATGAGTCACTATGTGTGACGGCTAGATAATATTCTTTATCATGCTTTCCCTTGGATCTATATTGGCTTGAATGTTCCACGATACCATGTTCCTGAAAAATCAAATTTGTCAAATTAAATACAGAAAACAAGGGTTACTTAACTCAAACAATCAAAATAACCAACAATAAATTCAAGGGCCTGAGGGCAAAAAGGATATGGGTAATGACTCCTCAAAATTGAAACGTGCCTAAATCTACTGCAACCTAGTAAACAAAATAAAACTATATGCTATGCTATACAAAAAGTAAACTATATGCTAAGCAATACAAAAAGCAAAAAAAAATAATTGAAAATTAGGTTGCCTCCCAATAAGCGGTTCTTTAAAGTCATTAGCTGGACTTTGTGCCACAGTTATTCTGGTATAGTTAGGTAAAGGCTCTCTTTAGCGGTGGGAAAATCTTCCACGTAGTACTTGATACGTTGACCATTTACTTTGATGCTTCCTTTTGTTGGATGATGTAATTCAACTGTGCCGTAGGGAAACACCTGATAGACCGTAAAAGGGCCAGACCATCTAGATTTCAACTTTCTTGGAAACAGTTTAAGTCTAGAATTGTATAAAAGCACTTGATCTCCCACTCTAAAAATTCTTTGCCTGATGTTCTTGTAATGCCACTGCTTCGTTCTTTCCTTGTAGATGGCCGCATTCTCATATGCTTCTCTTATGAATTCTTTTAATTCATGTAGCTGCAGTATTATTGTTTCTTCAGCCTTTTCAAGATCCATGTTTAACTTCTTCAATGACCAGTATGCTCTATGTTCAAACTCCACTGGTAGGTGGCATGCTTTTTCAAAGACTAGTCGATATAGGGACATCCTAATAGGTGTCTTGTAAGCAGTGCGATATACCGATAAAGCATCGTCTAATTTCTTTGACCAATCATTGCGAGATGCATTCACAGTGAGCTCCAGAATTCTTTTCAATTGTTTGTTCGAGGTTTCCACCTGTCCACTTGTTTGAGGGTGGCAATTCGATGTTGTACCACGTACTTATCCAACACTGTTTGGAATAACCGATTTCGAAAGTGAATTCCACCATCACTTATTATGGCCCTATGTGATCCATAGCGATTAAAGATGTGTTTCTTTATGAAGTCCACTACCATCCTTGCGTCATTTGTAGGCAATGCTTTAGCTTCTACCCATTTAGAGACATACTCCACTGCCACTAGGATGTACCGATTGTTATAAGATGATAGACAAGGACCCATAAAATCAACCTTTCAGACATCAAATATTTCCACCTCCAAAATGTTGTTAAGTGACATCTCGTGACGCGCTGATATGTTACCTATTCTCTAACAATTATCACATGACCTGCAGAAATTGTGGCAGTCCTTGAACAATATAGGCCAAAAGTAACCACATTGAAGCACCTTTGCTGCTATTTTAGTGGTGCCAAAGTGTCCTCTAGAAGCCAAAGCATTGACCCGTGAAAGGATATGTTTCATCTCATTCTCTGGCACACATCTCCTAATGATCTGGTCTGCCTCTCTCTAGTATAAATTTGGATCATCCCAATAATAGAATTTCGCTTCAAAAAGCAGTTCTTTTTCTGCTGATAGGTGATATCAAGATTCATATATCTACTAGCTAAGTAATTAATAATGTCTACATACCATGGAAACTTTTCTATCTGTAATAACTATTCATTTGGGAAGACCTCATTAATATCCCTGTCCTCTAAATCCTACAGTTGCTCTAGCCTTGATAAACGATCTGCTACCTGATTTTCTGTACCCTTTTTGTTGCAAATTTCAATGCCAAACTCTTGCAGTAATAGAACCCATCGAATCAACCTAGGTTTAGCATCCTTCTTCTCAAACAGATATTTCAAGGCTGTATGGTCAGTGTAGAATATCACCTTTGAACCAATCAAATAGGAATGAAATTTATCGAAGGCAAAGACCACAGCTAGCATCTCTTTCTCTGTTGTTGCATAGTTGATCTGAGCATTTGTCAAGGTTTTGCTGGCATAGTAGATGATATGTAACACTTTTCCCTTATGTTGGCCAAGCATTGCTCCCACTGCATACTCACTAGCATCACACATTAGTTCGAAAGATAGATCCCAATCAGGTGCTAATATTACAGTTGTAGAAGTTAATTTTTCTTTCAAAGTATTAAAGGCATTTAAGTGTTCATCAGAAAAGTGAAAAGGCATATCCTTCTCCAGTAGATTACACAGAGGTTTTGTAATTTTTGAGAAATCTTGAATGAACCTTCTGTAAAACCTGGCATGTTCTAAGAAGCTTCTGATCTCCTTAACTAAATTAGGAGGCCGCAATTTTTCAATCACTTGTATTTTGACTTTGTCAATTTCAATGCCCTTTGAGGAAATCCTGTAGCCTAGTACTATCCCCTCTTTTACCATAGAGTGACACTTTTCCCAATTAAGCACCAGATTCTTCTCTTCACACCGTTGTAATACAAGCGATAGTCGTTCCAAGCAATCATCAAAAGAATTCCCAAACACTAAAAAATCATCCATAAATACCTCGATGTATTTTTCCACCATGTCAGAGAATATGGCCATCATGCAACGTTGAAAGGTTGCAGGTGCATTGCATAGGCCAAAAGGCATCCTTCTAAACGCAAAAGTTACATAAGGGCATGTGAATGTTGTTTTCTCTTGGTCTTCTAGAGCAATAACTATCTGATTGTACCCTGAATATCCATCCAGAAAGCAATGATGAGAATGACTTGCCAACCTCTCTAACATCTAATCAATGAAGGGCAATGGGAAGTGATCCTTTCTGGTAGCATTATTCAACCTCCGATAATCTATATATACTCTTCACCCTGACACTAACCTTGTTGGTATCAGTTCGTTGTTCTCGTTCTTCTTCACTGTGATTCCATCCTTTTTAGGCACAACACGTACTGGACTCACCCGTGAACTGTCAGATGTGGGATAAATTATTCCTGCATCTAGCAATTTCAGTACTTCTTTTCTCACCAATTCCTTCAAGGTGAGATTTAATCTTTGTTGTCTTTTCACTGATGGCCTTGACCCATCCTCCATTAAAATCTTGTGTATGCAAAGAGTGGGACCGATCCCTTTGATGTCAGCTATTGTCCATCCAATTGCCATTTTGTGCTCTCTGAGTACCTCCAACAATTTATTCTCCTCTTCCATTGTCATGTCATTTGCAATGATTACTGGAAGTGTTGTAGATTCTCCCAAATATGCATAACGAAGATGTGAAGGCAAGGGCTTTAGTTCAAGAGTAGGTGCATTTTTCTACTGAAGGTACTGGGGTGAAAGGTTGTTACCAAGAGATTCATACTGTCAATGTCTTCTTCCTATTGGTTGCTTAGCCAAGTTGACAACATTCAATTTTTTTCTGGACTTGTTGCTCAAAATTGTGTAATTTCTACTTCACAAAGAACTGTTTGATGATCTGTCTCAAATGCATCTGCCACCAACTCTCCAAGAACATCTGCTTGACAACAGGTGTTTGAAGTCAGTGGATGTTTCATTGCCTTGAGCATGTCGAATATGACTTACTCATTGTCCACCCGAAGAATCATCTTTCCATCGTAAACATCAATCAGCGCTCTTCCGGTAGCCAAGAAGGGTCTTCCCAAGATTAGAGGGATGTTTGAATCCTCCTCCATGCCCAAAATGATGAAATCAGCTGGAAAAATGAATTTATCAATTTTGACTAGCACATCTTCAATAATCCCATTCGGTCGTTTGATTAATCTGTCAGCCAGTTGCAAAGATATGGTTATAGCTTTTGCTTCTCCTAATCCAAGAGACTTGTAAACAGAAAGGGACATCAAATTAACACTAGCACCTAAATCACATAAAGAATGCTCAAAATAGTTAGAACCAATTGTGCAAGGTATCGTAAAACTCTCTGGGTCATTTAGTTTAGGAGGTAGCTTTTTCAATAAAATTGCACTGCACTCCTCGTTTAGGCAGACAGTCTCATGTTCTTCCAGATTCCTTATGTTAGACAGGATCTCCTTCAAGAATTTTTCATAGCTGGGCATTTGGGCTATTGCATCTGCAAACGAAATATTTATGTGCGGTTTCTTGAAAATCTCCACAAACTTAGCAAACTGTTTGTCTAACTTCTTTCTTTGTAATTTTTTAGGGAAGGGAATTGGTGGCACATAAGCTTTCACAGGGCTGGGTACTCTCACTGTGGGTGTTTCTTTCCTTTTATCCTCCTTGTTAGTTGGTTGTTTAGACTCTACTTCTGTCCCAACCTCTTCACCCATTACTTCTTTATCTCTTCTGTCTTGTCTCTTCTCATGTATCTCTAGAAGTTGCACTCCACTTCTAGTTGTAATAGCTTGCACTTGCTCTTTTGGATTGACCATTGTGTTGCCTGGCAATGTCCCTTGTCGACGTTCTGCAAGCTGTTGAGCTATTTGATCAATTTGATTTTCTAGCTTCTTAATGGATGCTTGCTGATTCTGAAAGTTAGTGTCAATCTACTAGAATACCTTGTCCATCTTTTGTATGTATTGGTTGAACATCTCCTCCAAACTTTATTTTTTCTCTGGCTGGTTATTGTTTGAACTATTCTCTTGCTGATTATCCGACCATCTGAAGTTTAGGTGTTGCCTCCATCCTGAATTATATGTTTGTGAAAAGGGATTAAAATTTCGAGAGCCATTTTGAATAAAGTTGACTTGCTCCTCCGGAAATCCTAAATATGTGCAATTTTCTGTTAGATGATTAGCCCTGTAGTTTTCTCATAATGGACCGGTTATCACTGCATGTGCTCCTTTTGTTTGTGACTTCACCAATAACTCTACTTGTTTTGTCAATGCTACTATTTGGGCATTAGTAGATGCTGTACTGTCTAATTCATAAATTCTCGCTGCTTTTGGAGGCACCACTCTTTCTGATGACAGCATTGAATGAGTAGTAGCAATTAGTTCAAATAGATCCATACATTGTTGCACTAATTTCCTTATGATCAATCAGCCTGTAGAGGAATCCACTTGAGATTTAGACAGTGGTGAAAGTCCTGTGTAGAAATAGTGCACTTGATTTCCAATAGTGATCCCATGATTTGGACACTTTCTCGTCAACTCCTTAAATTTGTTCAATGCCTTGTGATAGCTCTCCCCATCTCTCCATTGAAAAGTTTGAATTTCCAGTCTGATTTTTACTACCTTAGCTAGTGGAAAGAACTTATTACAGAATTTCCTTTTCAGTTCCTCCCATGTGGTAATACTTCCATCTGGTTCGGCATCCAGCCATTCCAATGCTGCATCTCTTAGTGTATATGAAAATAATCGCAGCTTGATGGCATCGTCATTAACTCCGGGAGCATGACAATTCTGGCAATTTTTGAGAAATCTGGAGATATGTGTGTTTGGATTCTCATGGGGTAGCCCGTAGAATTGCAACGTGTTGCTCACCAAATTAATCCAATCAGTCTTTATCTGGAAGTTGTTTACCCTAAAATCAGGATATACTATGCTGGACCGCGCGGGTGTTGCTATAGACGTCAAAAACATAGAAATTGGCAAGTCCCCTTCATTTACTTCCCTTTACTCTTGCTGTTGAGCTCTCGTGGCCATTTGTCCAATTAGTTGTACAGAGATAGGATTGTTTAAATTGTCAGCCATTTGATGCAACTGTTTTTGTTTGTGTTTCCTGCGTCTTTGTCTGAAGGTACGTTTTATTTTCGAATCAAATGGTTCAAGATCGTCGCCTTAGGCACGAAGCATACAACAAACACATTTTTCTATAAATAAAAGAAAATAAGCAAATTAAATAACAATTAAAAATAAGATAAAATAAATAAATAAATAAATAAAATAAGTTAAGACTAAAAGTAATAGTCCCTAGCAACGATGCCAAAAACTTGTTGCCAATTTTATGCTACAAGTGGACGGATCGTAAAAAGTAGTAGAATGAACCTATTGAGTCCGGATTATCGTTCCCACGAGGACTATATTTTAGTACTTAATTTATTATTCATAATTTCTATTTGATGAAAATAAATAAATAAATAAAAATTGATTAATTATGATTTTTAAATCTAACTACTAAAAATTTCGAGAATGCAACAGAAAATTAGTGAGAATTCAAATAATAAATGGAGATTATGGCGGAACAAATTCATCTATTGGTCACCTTTATTTCTAATATCGAGATTCATAAAATTAAAATAATGTTCAGTCGAATTCTTCTATTATATTCAACTTATCCCTCTCGAGTTCTCGTTGAACCTATTTA